TAATAGTTAATGAGGGTCTTAAATAAGGCCATTAGATTAGGCTATATTTATGAACCGTTGAATCAAACTGATCTATTTGATCTTAGGGCTCGGATATAGGTTTCTTGTAAGTCTCAAATATTTAATGGGCTTAAAAGGTGTGCATCAACTTGGATTCATAAGTTTTGAAAATAGTTCATTTAGTCAAAACACTAAAAAACATAGTTAATTTAATCTCAAAACATGTATGGACTGTGTTTGTTGAATTATAGATGTGTTGGGGGCTTGACTTATTAAATTGGACAAGAAGTACAAGTCCCGTATTTGAGGGGGTAAAAGACTATATAGCACTAAATTGGATTCAATTCCAATCCCATTTCGTCACAGCCACCAAACACAGACTCTGCAGGACTAAATTGGACTCAATTCCAATCGTGTTCAGCCCCAGCCACCGGACGGGTCAAAATATTTGTGATGATTGGGCTTTCAAGCTATATACAGAGCAGGCTTCTGCTGGGCCTGTTCTAGAAAAACACTTGACCCTCGAAGTCGGTTTTGCAGAGTGATGTTACAATAGCATGACCAGTTGGTGACCCATCTTTCTGGCCCAAACTCCATACAGATATAAATACGCAATTTGCCCACTCCACCACCAGTCACTAAAATCAAAATCAGGAAAGCCCTGTAAATTGCAATGCAGAAAATATTGGACCACCATCTTTAAGTCGAAAGAAAAGAAAAGGAAAAAAAACAAAGAAGCTTAAAGCACGTGAGGAGCAGATCAAGCTTGAGATTTGTCTGCTTCTTAATCTGAGATTTACAGTTCTCAAATCCCTGCCTCTGACAAAACAACAAGGATATGGGAAGTAGAAGAATAAATTACTGCACCCCATGTAATTTTTATTGTGTAAATGTGGGAAGGAGAGGTGACAGCAGGTGAACAAAATAATGGGGGCAAAAGCTGCAGGGCTAAGCTTTCCTTTGCAACTTTGCATATAACTGTACAGCGAGAGTACCCTTACTTTATTTTTGCATGAAAATGAGTTAAAGAAATATTCTGCAAAGATTGATTAGATAGGGGAATTAGATTCCTACACCACCCACCAACCTTAACATTTTACTATCATTTCCTAAATCACTCACATGCTCTTGTGCTATATAGATACATCAAAGTCAATGAGATCCGATCCATATATGCATATAAATAATATATATAGTAGCATGCACATAAAAATTTTAGAGAGAGAGAGAGAGAGAGAGAGAGTGAGTGAGTGAGTGAGTGAACAGGTGCCCTTGAATTTTTTTTGGAATTTGTGTATATATGTATATATATGATAAGTCCATTTGTGGATGAATTTGTGAGAGTATAGATAACGAAATTGTGTCTAGCTGGAGGCATCGTTCAGGAAAATAAGATGATGTATTTTTTTTTAAGGACTTTTTCTATTAAGGGGGGTTATAATATATTAAACTCACACATGCTACACAGATGCTATTAGGACTCAAATTTAATACCCTGCATGAGGTAGCAATTACACTCTAAACCACTACACACGCTAGTGGGCCCTTTGCAAGCTGTTGTATCTTCAATTTTCTTTCCAATAACCTTTCGTTTAGACTAAAATTAAAGTACTAATTATTACTTTGGCAAAGCTAATCACTCTAATCAAATCATGCATTACATACAGCTCCATGAATTAGAAAAATTTGAAAGACATTTTTGTTTTCCTTGTAAATTGAGCTCAATTAGGCAAGGCCTATGGCTGCTAGGGCCTAGGTTGGTGAAGCTTTTGCAAGAATCTTAGCCTTGAAAGCCGTTGGTGTGAAACATGCATACGCGGCATGTCAAAATCGGAAAACCAAATATTAGGTAATAATTGTGAGTGTCATGCTTTTAATTTCACAAGGTATGGCCAGAGAGAGTGAGGGACCAAAAACTACAGGAATTGAAGGAGATCTCAAAATCAGTAAATTAGAATCAGATGAGCAGAAGACATGGGTTTCAATCTGTGTTTAGCATAAAGAAAATTGTACATGCCCTCGCTTTTCATCGGAGCACATGACTTGGGGTCCGGTGTAATTTGATTGATTTATTATCTGCACTCATGCCTTGTTTTTGTTCCAAAATGTGACTTTGGATGTTAGAAGCTGTGCCATGCGCTATAATGTATAATTTCATGGTGATGTTGATTTGAGTTGGTGTTTTGGACCGCATGAGCTTAGCTTCTTTGTCACTAAAGATTGAGACAGCATCCTGATACATTTTTCTTCTTTTCAGCCTTAGCATTTAGATTGCTGACATATATGCATCCATATATGTAACAATTAATAAATCAACTTTCCCAAGCCACAGTGCCCTAAGAAATTATTATCTGTTAGCCTAGTCGTATTTCTCATGTCCTGAGTCAATGTTTGAGGGAAGGGGTGTTTTTTCTCTCACACACACGCTGTCAAAATGTCATAAAAATTAGGATCTAAGACGAGTAATTTGTACGTTAGGGCTCTTTTGTATTGTCGATGTGGTTGTTCCAGTTGCATAAAAAAAAAAAAAAAACCATTTACTACAAACAAACGCGTAAGGGGTAGTCAAATGTTAGAGTGTCTCCAAATCATTATATATTCATCCAAATCAAATTGATTGAGGGGTCTCTTTCTGTCCACCATTATGCACGTGTCCCTCCCTTCTCATCTCCATTGATATCGACATAGATAGGTGGCTTGGTTTTGTTTATTTAAATTAACTCTGATTTGTATTTTTAAGTTGGCTGTGAAATATCAATCCTTCTCCTTATCAGTCTTAATGAATGATAATGTGTTTTTGTCACTCCAGCTGTTCCACGTCTCCTTGTCCTCAAATTAATGCTCTCAATTAAATCACTCCATCATACTTGTAAATACTATTACTTTTTCCATTCCTAATCAGTTTTATTTGCGAGTTATGTCAGTTTTATTTGCGAGTTATGTAATCAACAATGAAATTAGTAAATATGTTACATGTAACACTGATTGTGACAGATGATCTTTAATTTGACACCATACAATTTTCATATACGTACACTCAACTATCACTTGGAAAAAGAAAAAAAGGAAAAATAAAGTCACCCTCAACACACAAGTATACATGCAAATCCTTAAGATCATGCGGGCATATCCAATTATGGAATCCGCACTTTAGGCCAAATATCCCTCCACTGGTTGGGTACATTCATCAAATTAGTATCGATCGGACGGTCATAATCTGATCCCCCAAGATGATGATTCGATGCACACTGCACCATCTAGATGTAATGGTTACGTGAAAACTTGAATCCCAATTAATCTTGGCCTCACGTTTGATGTGGGGCCCTATATAAATTGGATGATGAGGTTGCTTTTTTACCGACCCAGCCGATATGAGAAAGAGACTGCGACGAGCGGCATATACATATATTCTGGGTTGGCAAACGGACAAGAAGGTGGGGCTGGGACCCACTGATATCTGACGTGGCAGATTGGCAAATATAAAGTAAGAATCCTCTCCGACCGCGAGCATCTGATGACGACCAGTCTATCCACCCCACAACCGCGGCTAGGCCACCACCACCAAGGCCACACACCAACCAACCCCTAGTATTTCTTTATTTAATTTCTTCTTCTTCTTCAATCTTCATTATTTTCCTTTCCATCGTACAACAATTGGCAGAACTCATATGAATTTAAAGCCATGATTATAGAGACTTCAAATTAATTAGCCAGCTACTGCTAGCTAGAATATATACAGTACTCTGATTTCTGATAGATGATGACTTGAATTAAATACATTCATAAATTAAAGCTCCTAAAGACCTATGCAATCCCGCTCTCTTACATCTATAGCTTGCAAGGACGGACCTAAAATTTCAAAATAGGATGAGCTAAATTTACCTTATTGGACTGTTAGATTTTAGACTCGGATAAACCTTATAGGGAGGCTAAAATTGATCTTAAATATATATAAATTTAAATTAAGAACATATAAATTTTTATTTTATTGATTTAAAAAGACCTATTTTACAGATGCCAGCAACAATGATTATATATTCTTAAAATTAACACTAATGGCTAGTATATGTCTTTTATACTAAAAAAAACTCACCTGAGTAGGCTATAGCTCAGGTTATACACGTTAACGTTGTAGGTTCGTCCCTGACCGTTTATATGAAAAAAAGAAGAAAAAAAGTCACAAACATAATAGTCAGAAAATTAATAGTATTACTATGTAACTTTAATTTTGTCATCTTTTGGTTATTTTGCCATCATTTCACGTGAACCTCTGTCTTAGACTTTCACTTATATATAGGCATATATGAAAGATTTTGAACAGTAAAAGGTATGTGGATAGAATCACTAAGTACGGTTTGCTTAATACAAGTTTCAACTAGCAATAATATACTTCAATCTCTTTTCACACTTTTGGCTAGACACAATTCCTGGGTGGGAATAAGCTTGAACCATCAATTTTATCCTAAACTTTGACGGTGAATTACTTTTCATAAATAATACTACAAATTCCAAAATGCTAATTAATAATCTTTCAATAAAAGAGGTTAAGGTACATCAAATTATTTCTTTTATAATATAATAATCTACGTAAAGGCAGCAACAAATGAATAAATGAATAAATAAATAAATAAATAAATAATAATAGTATACAGATTTCCATGCAAAAATAAACAGTCTGCGAGGAGAGATCGGAAAAACAAAGGTACACACGATGGCGACACTTCCACCCAGAACATCCCCACAATCACTCACCTTTTCATTATTAATTCCATATCAATATTATTTATTTATGTGTGTAGCTCATATGATATTAATATTATTAAAGTTCTCTACTTAGGGTTGTTCTTTCTCTCTCTCTCTCTCTCTCTCTCCATGCATGGCGATTGGTCAGTAATCTTTTTGGGTTACTGTAATACAGCGTCAAAAAGAAGCTTAAAGACTAAGAAAATTGGTTCCTTCTCTTCAAAACCCTAAAAATTTAATAAAACAAAAAGAGAAAGAGAGAGAGAGAGAGAGAGAGTGCGGGGATGGGATGAGAGAAACAAAGAACAAAATAAATAAACACCAGCCTCCTTTATCTTTCCGTCTCCTTCTGATCTTTTCTTCTCTTTCTCTCTGCAGCAGCAACTATCTCTTGTTGATGTGATTCTCCATCCCCTAAAAACCCACATCAACCCTTTACAAAAGAGAAAGCCATGGTTTTCTCATCTGTTCCCGTCTATATGGATCCACCCAACTGGCAACAACAGGTAAGGGTTTTCATTTTCTCCA